GATTCAGAAAACTTAAATCTCAATGCAGAGGGGAAAAGCTCATTCGAGCACACTTTCCCCTATAAGAGATACGCTGTTTGGTACAACACTCGTTGCGACCATTAAGGAAGGCAACTGAATACACACGTTTCGAGCCTGCAGTTGCCCGCCAGTCGAAACGCGTCTGCAGTTACCTGTTTTAATGGTCGTATCTAGTGTTGCACCAAACAGCAGGGCCGGATTAAGGGGGTGGCCGCATGGGCCGCGGCCAATGGCGGCAGATCTAAGGGGCGGCAAAAATTTGCAATTTTTTTAAGTGTAGGTATAAAAAAAATCGGATTTAGAAAAAAAAATTACAAACGAGAAAAGGTGACAAAATCCCTCATTTCCTGAGAGTACAGTAATTTCTAATTTTGTCGTCTCTTATTGATACAAGAGACAGCACCTTTAATTAGTCGAGTTAAGAGAGAAACATAACACGCAATTTGGCCTGAAACGGCGCGACTTAGAGAGAAATGATAACGAGGACTTGAGATGAAAAGGAGAAGCCCTCGGCGCGGCGATCGGTATGTAACACATATTAGCGCCTACAAGACTGCATGAATACTTCACACATTCCGTGAATCCGGCCCTGCCAAACAGCATATTTCTTTGAGGGAAGATTGTGATCGAATGAGCTTTTTTCCTCTGCATTGAGATTTTCAGTTTCCTGAATTGTAACGCACGTTGGCTACATTTTCAACTTTCTGCCAGAAAAAAAAGAAAAATTGCCTCATAAGAAAAGGTACCTATGTTAAATTTCTGAGCCTGATACATACAGAGCTTTAGAAAAGTAAACGCTCAATCCAAAAAAATTAAATTGAAATTTTTTGTTCTGGATGTCAGATTGAACTGTTTTTGTAGAATTTCGTCCACTTGAGGTGCGCCTTCAATTTCGTCTCATAAGCAACATATACAGTGTAGATCATGAATAGTTACATATTTAAAAAAAATACTCAAATTTAAACGTTCCATGAGATTAGATACGACCGATAAACAATATTTTGAACCTTCCCATAAACTAGGCGGTATTTTTTAAACGTTTCTGGCGATCCAACCACTCTGGAGAAATTCTTTCGATGTCAGGAGCCTAAGTTTTTTTCCCTATACAAGCAGTATTACAGATTTTTACGGCAGGCCCAATGTGAATATTTGGTGTTTTAATATCCATAAATACTGTAATTTAATACTGATGTAATGATAATTAGGGATGTTTCGATGCATAAACGCCCTTACTTAGTCATAAAAAAATTGTTTGTCTTCGTCGCTTTGAGTTCTAGTAAAATTCCTTTTAGGACCTTTACACAATCCCAAAATATAACACCCTGATTTTACCCACGTCTATATGTCACCTCAGCTCAACACTATAATCAGTGTTTTTTCACCCCTGAAACGTGTTGAGTAGCTCGTGCTTGCATTAGCCCATGTTTGGCTCAGTCATTCATGTTTGAAGGGTCTCGAAATTACTCAATAGAAAAGAAAATGATGATGCATCAATTGGAACAAGTAACATTTATTTTCAACGACGCGCGAGTCATTAAAATTCTAAAAAAAAGAAAACCGAATACAACAAGTTAAAGCACTAATATAAAAAGTCTTAATCAGTGAAAGTCGAGATTGCTGCATGAAGAAGAATTTTCTGGTTAATCATCTCTTCATCAGATTTTTTTTTGAGACAGTTGGAATTCTCACTTTTCCGATGACAGGACACCTGTTATGAAAATCATCCCAAAATTCCACTAGGACAATGCTAGGAAGAACACCGTATGAACATGCGAGAGTTGCCAAATTTCCCTCGATAAAACATGTATTTTTGACAACATTCATGCATATTTTCCCTTGAAATTCTCAGATATTTTAGATGAAGTTGCGTGCAAAATTGTCTGAAAATTGTGGAAAATAATACTCACAATTTTCTCAGTTAATTCTATTTTTATCGGAGGAAATTTAGCAACGTCTGAAGGCTTATACGGTGTTCTTCCTTAGCACGGCAGAATGGATAGGAGGCCCGATTGTAAAAAAAAAAGAAATCCGATGACGAAATATCAGAACGTTCCCTTAGATGCTCGGAGAAACCTCGTATATAGGTGAGGGCTCAAGAACATTGTAAAGGGATTATGTTGAGTGCTTTGAATGAGGATCATGGTTGATACATATGTAACTTCTTAGATGTTGAGTTTAGGGAGGCCGGATTTTGGTGGAGCGTTAAGTCCTGTGCGTTTCTTCACCTCATCAACCACGCCCTTGGTTTGCTCGTGAGTCTTAGTGCTAGAATCGTAAAACGTTTTCAGGGTTTCTGCAACGACTCGCATACATGTTTGGTCGAGGGTTATCTGGAATAAGAATAAAAAGAGTAGGCGTACACTGAGAAATTCTTTTGTTTGCAGCCCCCAAGAGAGGCTTCGCACTTTCAGAGAATCACTTTGTGGCAAGTGCCATAATGTACCATTAAACAAAGTACGAATTTAAGGTGATTCGATGGACGCCATATTTTGTGTCAAAACGGCATGCGATACATCGCATCAATTGGTTCCATTTTTTCAGCTCCTCGTCATTTTTCTTGAATTTTCAGATCGCAATTCTGTTGTCAGGAGACTAAAGCACTCACTTACCAATTTTAACAAAGAAAATCAACGTTATAAAGGCGTGGTTTCTTCAAAGAGAAAACATAGCATTCGGAACTGATATCGAAACTGCACTCTAATACGATATTTTCCCGCTGAAAAAACCACGCCTTTATCACGTTGAATTCTTGATAAAATTGGTAAGTGAGTGCTTTAGTCTCCTGACAACAGAATTGCGATTTCAAAGTTGGAGAAAAATGACGAGTAGCTGAAAAAATGGAACCAATTGATGCGATATATCGCATGCCGTTCTAACACGAACTATGGCATCCATCGAATCACCTTAAGGATTCTGATGCATATTTCTTAATCAGAATTTCACGTAGAACACGATTCTTGCATCGAAAATTACCGAAATCATTTCAGGTCTAAGATATTGACGTTTTTATTTTACATTGGTTACGGGAAATTTGAATTGCCCGGTCACAGGAAACTCAATACACTCTACGTGAGTTCAATCGCGTACTACAACGGTCTCGGCAGGCTTCTCAATCCAGCACTGTTCATTTCACACTCTGTGTTGCTCAAACTATAAACAACTTTCTATAGCTGAGCCAAAGCGTCAAGATTGAGGCTGCCAGATTTTCATATCTCAGAGAGTGTCACGGTGATTTTTAGTGTACGATTTGACTCACGTGGACGATTGAGTCTTCATGAGCGGGAGGTTTGAATTCACGCGTCAAGAAACATTAGATATCTTTGATGAGTTAATTACAGTGATTTTTGCTGCGCAAATCGTGTTTCACTTAAAATTTTGGTTCAGAAACATGTATCAGAATGCTTGACTTCTTACCTTGTCTAGTGGTCCATCCATAGATTCGAAAACAGGAGGCTCATCCAGAGATCACTGGTTGCTGTTCGCCAAAAAGTCTTAGGGTACCGGACAAATCTTGAGGACACTCCAAATGCGATCTCAAAGTTTCGAGTCATCGAAGTTTCGAGGAGCGCGTTAAAATCCCGGCCATAGAAATCGACTCATTTGACTGATGATTTCACTATGGCAAAAGTCAACATTTTGGAAATCAAATAATTTACGCAATTGACATTAGATTTACTGACTGAACTTTTCCAGGTGTCGCCGACTTGGCAACGTTGGCAAGTTTTTCCAATAAGTATCCGTGCACAATCTTTGCGACACCCGATATTGCTTAAAAAGTTTTACATTTTCTCCTTTTTTATGAGATATTGTTCTATTATTTTTGTCACCTTTCTACTCGTTGGCGGTAATAAATATGTTGCATGTGTGAGGAATTTGCAATTTGACTGTTGATTCTTACATAAAAGTTCGCGAGAAACACGATGGTGTCACTGGTTTTCTCTGAAATCGACTTCCAAGCTCACAAAAAGCTCTCGAGTTGAGGGCAAAATGGATGGGATTATCCCACGCTATCCTGAGAGTCCACCTCTACATCAAAACAAACTCTCCATGCAAAGATAAGGAGCAAATACATTGACAGCTAGGTTGCCGTGATTTCAGTAGTAAAGTCCCCAAATTAAGTGGCAGCCACGTCGATGTATTTGCTCCCTATCTTTGCATGGAGAGTTTGTCTTGATGTAGAGGTGGACTCTCACGATAGCGTGGGATATCCCCTCCATTTTGACCTCAACTTGAGAGCTTTTTGTGATCTTGGAAGTTGATTTCAGAGAAAACCAGTGGCACCATCGTGTTTTTCGCGAACTTTTACGTAAGAATCAATAGTCAAATCGCAAATTCCTCACACATGCAACATCTCCATTTTACCGCGCAAAATGAGTTAACAAAAAAAAATACCGTAACCATGAAAGATGCTTACCTTTTGTTCTTTGGCTCGGTCGACGACTGCTGAAACTCCTTTTGCCGACGACAGATCATCGCGAACTTTCTGATTCAGCTCCTTTCCCAAGGCCAATAGCTGTTCATTGGTGAGCTTGCTGTAGTCGGTCGGGGTTGCTTTGGAATTCGAAGTTGGGAGGGAGGATGAGAACTGAGTCGGTCCACTATTTGTCTTGGAATTTGTAATCGGGAAGAGGGTAACTTGAGCGTTCGGTTTGGGAGCCGCAGTCGGGAAAGCGGTGGGGAACAATGTTACGCCGCCTGCGGGTTTTTCAGCCGCGCTCTGAAAAAGTCAGAATAGATTAATAGGAATCACATTTTGCGACGGGTGGTTCGGTTAGGTTAGGTTGGGTTGGGTTAGGTTGGGTTGGGTTAGGTTGGGTTAGGTTGAGTTGGGTTAGGTTAGGTTAGGTTATTTATTTCGAGTCTCTCAATTTTCTGCATTGCTCCAAAAATAATACTATAATCGACGTAGTCTCAAAGAGTCACGCGGTATGCATCACGATTCACGTAATCGGTTAGACGGTACTTAATTTCCTCAGTAATTTTGCTTAGTACATAAGGCACCCATGCGCGAGTATATATAATATTTACAATTCGAGTGTTATTTAAAGTTGTCTGTTCCATTTTCGGTGCGCTTCTCGATACCGTCTCAGCCAAACTAATGTTTGACAATATTTATCATTAAAACGACTGCACTATGCATTCGGAGGTGGCAAGGAACCAAAGATTTTCTCGATCGCAAGTCCAATAGAAATTAATCGATCATCTCTGCCAAGAGGGCCATCAAAGTTGATTCCAACTGGCAAACCATGAGCTGTCATTCCCACAGGAATACTCAGTGCAGGGATACCAACGCTCCCTGCTGGACTTGTATTTCTTATGTAGCTACTGAAAGCATTGACAGGTGATCCCCCGTTGATGGAAATGTCACCAGAGCCGTGGGTGTGATCGATGAGAGTGGCAGGTAGAATTGTTGTTGGGCACATTATAGCATCAACACGCTTTTGAGAGAAATAGTCAGCGTACAACTTCTGGAGAGCAGGACGGGTTACTGTCATAATTTCTCTATATTCTCTCTCATGCGTGCCATTCAGAATAGTCTTAAAAACGGCTTTAACATCTGGACTAGCGATCCCGTCGTAAATGTCCCTCAGACTAACATTACTGATGTTCGATGCAGCTAGGTATGCTGGTATGGCACTTTTAGCCTCGTGAGAGACTATTATCCCTCCAACAGCCTTGTCAAAACTAAGGAGGTTGGGAATATCATCATCAACCAAGATAACCCCTGCTTTTAAGAGTTTCATTCTAGCTTCAGCGGAGATTCTATCAACTTCTTCATCGAGGCCTGACCACAAGACAGGAGGGACGCCAAAACGTAGACCTCGCAGCTCAGTTGCAATAACACGCGGTTGACCTGTGATAATAGAGCTCAGAAGCGAAATTTCTGACACACTGCGTCCCATGGGTCCAACAGTGTCACGAGTGTTACTTAATTGCACGACAAAACCGCTGTCATGATACCGACGCTCAATTCCTCCGTCCCCAACAGATGGACGAAAACCTACAATCCCGGTCAATGCCGCTGGTATCCTTAGGGAGCCCCCTGTATCCGTTCCCAGTCCACAAGTGACCACTCGGGAAGCTATCGCAACAGCTGTACCACCTGAGGATCCACCAGGAATTCTGTGTTTGTCGTATGGATTCCGTGCTGGGCCGGCGAATGGTTGGAGGTTTGTGCTGGTTACCCCCAATGATAATTCATGCAAGTTCGTCTTTCCGATTACTATTGCCCCAGCGGCGATGAGTTTCTCGAGGCTGGGTGCTGTTGTGGACGGCCGGTGGTGCTGCAGAGCGGCTGTTCCGGCAGTCGTGGGAAATCCGGCCAAGTTGATGTTGTCTTTGACGACGATCGCCAGACCGGCAAGAGGTGGTGGATTACCGGCAGCTATGGCGCTGTCTACTTTGTCCGCAGTGGACAGAGCGTATTCTGGTAGCAAGTTGATGAAGGCGTTCAATGATTTGGTCTTTTCTGCGCGATTCAAGACACTCGAGATGTACTCTCGGGCGGTCACGCTCTTGTTTTTGATAGCAGCAATCGTCTCATCAGCAGACCAGCCACAGTAGTCTATAGTAGAGGTTCCTTGAAGTTCTGTCTTCGTGTCTGAGATTTTTTTGGGAGAAGGTGTAGGTACTTGTGAAACTGTCTGAAACAGATAACAGTATTGAACAGTTTCCTGTAAAGCAAGTTAAGTTTCTTGCATAGCCTTCACCAAATACCCAACCATATGTTGCACAATTCCAACGCATTTATTATATGAAAATCATAAATCTTGACCATGCATCATGTTCTACCCTTCTCGCCAAGAGATTGAAGGTTTCGAAGAACAGTTTTCAAATATCTGCATCTGGCTGTGACCACTTGAAGTTTTAATGAATCTGGAAGTATTTGAAGCAGTATAAATATGATAGATATAAGTATAAATATAAGTAATAGTATAGTATAATAATATAAGTATTCAATAAATGATGATTAGAAAGTTATAGTTTAAGTACTAAAACAACTTCGGAGCTGGTAGGGAGCCGAAAATCGTTCTATAGACAAAATATTTTTTTGTAATAAGATCAATTTTTTACAATCAAACACGCGTATTTGATTTAACCTGTTTTACTTTATTACCAATGTTTCTGACAGTTTTACATAAAAAGCTAACAAATTTCCGGTGGTGGAAGGGAACCTAAGATCTTTTCTGCAGCAAGTCCAATAGCGAGAAGGCGATCATCACTGCCAATAGGACCATTGATCTCGATACCGATTGGCAGGCCATTTGACGTCAGCCCCACCGGAATACTCAAACCGGGTAAGCCAGCGGTCCCAGCAGGACATGTATTTCTGTTAAAAAGTTCGAGGGTGCTAATAGCAAGACTTTCGTCGATAGAATCGTCGCCAAAACTTTGAAACTGATCCATCCGTGCCGCGGGAAAAATTGTCGTCGGAAATATAATGGCCTCAACTTGCTTTTGAGAGAAGTAATCGGCATATAATTGCTGCAGAGCAGGGCGACTGTCTTTCATAACATCCCTATATGTTTTTTCGTGACCACCATTTAAAATACTCGTTTCGAATATAGCTTTTACATCTGGACTAGCGATTTCGTTGACAATATCCTTTAAATCAATACCCCTAACGTTCGACGTTGTCAAATAATCAGGAATGGCCGTCAAAATTTCATGAAAGAAAATTACATTCGCTACAGCCTTATTCAATGCCAAAAGCTCAGGAATGTCGTCGCGAACTAAGATCACACCAGCTTCGCGAAGCCTCTGGATAGCTTCCAAGGCAGATTTCTGAACTTCTTCATCAAGTTCGGACCACAGTCCGGTGGGCGCCCCGATACGTAGACCATGCAGATCAGTTATTTCAACGCGCGATCGACCTGTGATGATGGAATCCAGTAATGTTATATCTGCGACACTTCGCCCCATGGGTCCGATCGTGTCGCAAGTGGGGCTGATGGGCACAACGGTTCTGTCGTCGTTGTATCGGCGCTGGCTGCCTCCGTTTCCTACAGATGGACGATAACCGACGATACCAGTCAAAGCTGCTGGGATTCTCACAGAGCCAGCTGTGTCCGTGCCCAGTCCACAAGTGACCACCCGAGCGGCGATTGCCACAGCTGTACCACCTGAGGATCCACCAGGAATTCTGTGTTTGTCGTATGGATTCCGTGCTGGGCCGGCGAATGGTTGGAGGTTTGTGCTGGTGACCCCGAATGATAGCTCGTGCAAGTTCGTCTTTCCGATTACTATTGCCCCAGCGGCGATGAGTTTCTCGAGGCTGGGTGCTGTTGTGGACGGCCGGTGGTGCTGCAGAGCGGCTGTTCCGGCAGTCGTGGGAAATCCGGCCAAGTTGATGTTGTCTTTGACGACGATCGCCAGACCGGCAAGAGGTGGTGGATTACCGGCAGCTATGGCGCTGTCTATTTTGTCCGCAGTGGACAGAGCGTAGTCAGGTAGCAAGTTGATGAAAGCGTTCAATGATTTGGTCTTTTCTGCACGGTTCAAGACACTCGAGATGTATTCTCGGACGGTCACGCTCTTGATTTTGATAGCAGCAATCGTCTCATCAGCAGACCAGCTCGAGTTGTCTGTAATCTGGATTTCTTGAAGGTTTTGACTCATGGCTGAGACGTTGTCAAGCACGGATCGAGAATTTTACAGCGTAAAAGAAAAAATGGCATGGACACCCGTTTTTCAACTTTCATTAAAAGTCTAGTTACCTTCGATTGAAGGCAAAGTTTAGTATCTGCACCATGAAAGATTTCACTATATTTTGCGGAACTGCTTAATTTCACTTACTGACGAAAGACAATGGCCGGGTGCGTCTTCACCTCACGTTACTGGTTGAAAGGAACAACACGACTCAGCGTTCCGTAGTACAAAGATGTCAACAATCTCATTCCAACAGACGAACTTTAGACAACCAGATAAGCAATACTTGAGATAGAAATGAGTGGGAAAGAGAATATGCATTCGCCCTAGGCGTCGCGTCGTCGCACAATGGTATAGAGAGGTAAATGTTTGGATATATGATAAAGGTCCATTGTGCAAAAAGCGTTGTTATTGGGATTTTGGCCCTCTTACCACAAGGAATGTTGAGCCTTGCATTTTTTTCTTCCAAAGAAGACTCGATTGCACTCATCTCAGCATAGAAGTGGTGGTATTTCTCTCAGTTTTTTTTTTTTTTTTTAATTCCTTTATTAGACAATTAGTCACATTGCACATAAAGTAGATTTAATTTCCAAACTTATAGTAGTAGTGGTCTTAAATAATAACAAAAGAACTAATCTAATAAAGAACCGGAATTGCCAATTGGCATATCATCGGTCGGGGAGTATAATATGGAGCTGCTTGAAAAAGGGGTACTTTTAGGTACTCTTGGGTTAAAAGGAAATAGGTTTCAATGGCAGATCAATCGATATATCGCAAAGCACGCCAAACCACTGATTTCTTACTCTGCTAGATACGCAATTTACCCCTAGTCTACATTCTCGGGTCATCATCAAAAGAGAAAAACGCTAAAAATAAAGAAAACTATTTTACCTGTAAAAATACTTTTTTTTACATCGAATTTCCAAACTTAATCTTTGGCCAGTCTACGCACTGGAAAAAAAAACACATTGGATCTAGAGTCCAGACTCTTAAAAACATCGACAAGAAAAAATACTCTTGATTCAATCAGATCTAAGCTTAAATCAAGAACCAAGCCTCTTAATTTGAGCGGATTTCCTTTTGATTTAAGCTTAAATCTGATTGAATCAAGAATCTTTTTTCTTGTCAACGTTTTCAAGAGTCTGGACTCTAGATCCAATGTTTTTTTTTTTCCAGTGCGTACTTTTAGCACCGCCGGTGCGACTTAGTGAAGAGATATTGCCCTGTGCAATCGAGTGAGAAAATCATATTTGATATCTTGGTGCTCATTAATTGTCTAGGAGAATGGAGGAATTGACGTTGAAGTGTGTCCAAACGGCGTCAGTAATGGAGCGGAACCTAGTCTCTGAACGAGCATTTGCTGAAATCCTGACCTTTATCGTCAACGACAAAAGCAATTGCGCAAGATAATGCACCAGCAACTTTATCATCTCATCGATCCTTTTCCAACCCTTCCCTCGGCCTTTGACGGTAACCCAACTCTGCCGTATTAAGGAAAAACGCCGTATGAGCCTCCAGACGTTGCAAAGTTTCCTTTGATAAAAACCAAAATTACACTAGAAAAAAAAAAAAAAATCACATTGGATCTAGAGTCCAGACTCTTGAAAACATTGACAAGAAAAAGGACTCTTTATTCAATCAGATTTAAGCTTTAAATCAAAAGGAAATCCGTTCAAATTAAGAGGCTTGGTTCTTGTTTTAAGCTTAAATCTGATTGAATCAAGAGTATTTTTTCTTGCCGATGTTTTTAAGAGCCTGGTTCCTAGATCCAATGTGTTTTTTTTCCAGTGTACTCTGAAATTTGTGGATATTTTCCTCAAAAATTTCAGACAATATTGTTCGCAATTTAATCCAAAACATCTGATGATTTTAAGGAAAAATGTGCAAAATACTATTTTATCTAGGGAAATTTGGCAACTCTCGAATGCTCACACAGCGTTCTTCCTTAGCATGGCAGATACTGGTGAGAAGCTCTTTTCCTTCCTACCATTCTCAAAGTTGCAATGTTTTTGTCCGTTGGACGGATATGGTACTTTTGTATGTTAGCTCATGGTTTTAAGACTATTTGGACCGCATTTTGCAATAAGGGATTACCTACTGTTACCAGCCTATTTTAATGGCAACGTATGTGTCAGTGGTTCCTTTAGACAGATAGGTGATTTTACGGATTAGCTACAAATAGTGGCTCCTCATTATAAAATGTAGTCCAAACAATGAAAGGAAAATAGTCCGGACTTTTTGAAAAGGAGTCAAATTCTAAAGATTAATGTTTCAACTCCATCAAATTTTGTTCCTCCACGGAGGGAAACCGTAATTATATCAAACATGAATGCTTTCGGCGAGCGAACTTTGCTAACTTGAGTAAGATTTTGTTTTAGATTATATCGATCACTCAATTTTTAATTTTTTGCCCCAAAGTTCGTTGTCCTCAATGAAAAAAGCTAGTTCGAGCTTTATGAGACCAAACTAAGTTATCAGACCAAAGCTATATTTTTTTCGGAGTAATCTCGTGGAACACTCTTAAGGTGTTCTCGGCGTTTGCTTGAATTGAAGAGATTGCGTCTGCATGCGTATGATGCTTATCGGCATATCTTCAAACCAAAAACGCATATCTTCAAACCAAAAGTGACCACGCAGGAGCGCGTGTTGGTGTTCAACACGCAGGAGCTGTTTTTGCTTGTCCGCAGATATGAAGGCAAATGGCATCGTATGTCACAGTGCCTACGTGATTGTAAGTGAAAAAAAGTACGAGATTATCCTGCATTTGAGTGGATAGGCAACAAGAAATCCTCATTTTTCGGAGACTAAGATGCGAGCATCAAGCCTCCAAAAGCATTTGAGTAAACTAACGGATAATACGTAAGTCTTGTGGCTGCTTGATAACCAATAACAAATGCACCCCGAGGAATCTAGAAACAAATTAAATATGTCTGTCCGTATTAATCAATGCATCTGATTGAGTCTACCTGGCTCATAAATACTGTCAAAAATCTGGTGCTGACCAGTAGATTTCATGAAGTGCATGTGTAGTCGGGAATCAAGCAACAAGAGTTCTTCTTTTTTATCCGTGCAGATGACTTTAACGAACTAAAGCCTAACGGTATTGGACATTGCCTAATTTTTTTCTCATGCATGCTTAATTTGTTAAACCAAAACCAAGCAACATAATGCCATTGCTGAAGAAAGTTTCTGTCTGAATCGAAACAAATTAACTTCTATCGGATACATTTTTTAATGGAGGACTCCAGTTTTCAAAAATAAACTCATTAAAATTTTCTGAAATTCATTTAGGTGCGACTGGAATTTGTTAAATTTTTCAGTTTTCCAAAATATCGAGAATTATTTTTGGGGCGAACAGGAGTTATTTTGCGGAAAATATATATCTAGTGGAGGTTCTTTTTAGCTCGAACAAAATCTTGCTTAAAACCAGTTTTGAAAATTTGTTGGTTGAAATTTTGAAAATTTTCCCAGATCTCATTGAAGTAAGTAACTCATGTTAGTTCTCGATGAAAGGCAGGGTATTGCCTAGTTCTCTGTGATGAAAATAATACACGGTAGGGCATCAGACATTTTCTCGGGTGATTAGGCGAATTCTAGCATGCAGTAGTGACTAAGTGAAACATATGAACGATCCTGAAAGTATTCATGACCCTATCATAAATGCCTGTCGAGGATATTGAAGAAAAGACACGGAGAAATAAGGTATGTAAAATCATTGAACCACACGATATTCAAACTGATGGCAGTACTTTTATAACCAATTCAACACCTTACTTCTTTCCTGGGGTAATCGTGATCATTATATCCGAGACTATCTTACTCAAGTCACCCTGACCTCGAACTGGAAGTGGCGAGCTCTCCTCGCCGGAGGATGGGCATTGAGCACACCGTGCTGCACTGGAACCAGTTGCGATTTTTGATGGCTAGCAACACTGTTTTTTCTCAATTTTAATGTATTTAAAACAATCGATTCTTGGCAGGCCCGCCACAAGGGGGGATACTGGGTCCTTGGTACCGGGGCCCGGGCCCTGGAGGGGCCCGTAACGCAGGTGACAAACCACTACGAATTCATGTGTAACCTTTGTCTCGTAGGGAAAAGTTAAAAAATTACCCTAAAAATTCCGCAAAAGGTGAATGAAGTTTCAAGAACACGCTAGGGCACTATAAAATTTTTCTTACTTTTTTAGAGATTTTCAAGATTTTGAGTATATGTAGAATGATATTTTTAGTAACTGTGTTTCATTTTCTTCCGTTGTCGGATGCTAAGAGGCTCCTTTCTGGGCATCCTCGACTTCAATGGCTTAACTCCCTTGCCATAGACGTACAAAAGGGAGTCCAGGGGGGCCCGGCTCCCCATAGAATTGAAAATTATCATCTGCCCCCTCAAAAAAAAAAATTTATAGATGTTTTGAATGCAACAATTCGAAAGTTTTTGGTGCTGAAAGTAAACAAAAAGGCGTAATTATTCTGCAGAAATTGATGGAAAATCTCCATCATGAGAGCTTCATAATGCGTCCAAATAGATTTAAAATTTCAAAAATTTACCGGGGGAGGCCCCCCAGACCCCCCCCCCCGTGCTAGGGGCCCGGGCCAGAAAATTGGTACCTGGGCTCGAGATGGGATGTGGCGGGCCTGATTCTTGGTATCTTGGTGAAGCACACCTATGTCAATATTGTCAATATATTTAAATGTAGGAAAAACAGCGCTGCCAACTTGCAAAATCGTCACTGACGTGAACTAAACCACCGATTATCGGCAACGCCGAACTAACGTTCCCATCTTGACCTCAGCTCAATGTCGTCCGCAAGAAGGCTGTCTAAGACGGCAAGAAGTTACAACAACACCAGGGAATATATTGTTCTTAAACACTACCCTAGAATGATTGTGATGGAGAAAAACCGATAATGGAGAAACTGCAAAAATGCGTATCTCGGCTGCGATTTTTCAAAATCCCTGCTTCGTTCTCGTTGTTTCAAATGGGATCAAACCATTACAGGGGAAAAATGAAAAAATTGAAATTTTTACAGAATATTCTTTGCAGAGAGAGGAAAACCAACTGAGGTTTCCGGAACATGATAATCAGTAATTTTTTATGTAAAATATAAAGTATGACAGGAAGTCAGCAACGCCGCAGATTGAGATACGCATTTCTGCAGTTTGACCGTCGAAACGTGCTTTACATAGCAGGGAATTAAATGTATTCAAAACAGCGAAAAACCCGATCCTGGGTTAAAAAAATGATTTTCAGTTTGTAGTGCTAAATTTTTTTTCATACTTTTAAGAACATCAGGCCATTTCAAACCATGATTTGCACAAATGTGATTGTCATAAACGTTAGGAATGAATGATATGCAAAGGTGGCAACAGCGCCCAGCGATCTTTAACAGCGTTCTTCTTAAGGTGATTCGATGGACGCCATATTTTGTGTCAAAACGGCATGCGATATATCGCATCAATTGGTTCCATTTTTTCAGCTCCTCGTCATTTT